TCATTTAGGTGTCATTCGTGCCTTGTTAGATCGTGGTCTTTTACCTTCCATTATTACAGGTACTTCAGCAGGTTCATTAATGGGTGCAATTGTCTGTACTCGTACTGATGAAGAATTAAACGAGATTTTAAAGCCTGAATTAGCAAAGAGAATTAACGTCTGTCAAGGAAGCTGGGCAGCTAAAATTGCTCGTTATGTGAAGACTGGTGCTATTTTTGATTCTCAAGAATGGTGTCGTGAAGCCATGTGGTTTTGTAAAGGTTCACTTACATTTAAGGAAGCTTATGAAAGAACTGGTCGTATTTTTAATGTCTCGGTCATTCCTTATGATCCTCATTCACCTCCCAAGTTATTAAATTATCTTACTGCGCCTGACTGTGTTATTTGGAGTGCTGTACTTGCATCAGCAGCTATTCCCGGTGTAAGTCTTGAACAGTTTTTTTTTTTTTATATATATAAACGCTTATTCACACATTTTATACTTTTTTTTTAATCTAGATTTTGAACCCTGTTGTACTCATGCAAAAAAAGCGTGGTACAGAACACCTTATTCCATATAATTATGGCCACAAATTTAAGGACGGTAGCTTAAGTACTGATATTCCTACACACGCATTGAATACACAATTCAATGTCAATTATACAGTAGTTAGCCAAGTCAATCCTCATGTTCACGTCTTCTTTTATGCCAACCAAGGTAGTCCCGGTAGACCCGTGACACATCTTCAAGGACGAGGCTGGCGTGGAGGTTTCTTGGCTTCTACCATTGAACAAATGTTGAAACTTGATTTAGCGAAATGGTTAAAAGTATTGAGAAGTTTAAAACTTTTACCCAAGATTCATGATCAAGACTGGAGTTCAGTTTGGCTACAAAAATTTGACGGCAATGTGACGATTTTACCTAAATCTGATCTATCTGACTGGTTCTATACGATTGCAGACCCAGATGCGGATCGACTCAAGAAGTTGATGATTATCGGTCAAATTCGAACCTGGCCCAAGATTTCCATGATATCGAATCGTATGCGTATTGAATCTTCAATTGAAAAAGTGCGTAGATCATTACGCCATCAAAAGGCAAATCGTGGACGCATTGCTGAAAATGAAACGTTATCTAAACATTTGGAAAATCAAGATTTTGTTAATAGTGTACTTCAAAGTGGTGGTCAACATAGTGATGCAGGTAGTGGCGATGAATTGACATTTTTATCTCGTCGTCGTGTTAGTATGCCTGATGGTTCTTATCACCAAATGGATGAAAAGGACTTTTTCAAAGAACAACATCGTCGTCGTAAGTTCATGGCTCAATTCAATGGAAAACCGTCTAGTACAATGTCAAGCGGCAGTAATAAGCCTACTTTGCTTCTATTTGATTCTGATTCTGACTCTCATATTACTCCTCCCAGTTCGCCTGATATCTAATAAGTACTCTTATTGTCATTCCCATCATACCCCCAACCCCTATATTTTGTTCTTTTTTTTTTTTTCTTTTATTTATTGCCTGCATTTAAATAAAATTACAAATTGTGAACCATAAAAAGTTGTCAAAATAAGTTTGCATGAAACCACCAGGTACATCACAAATAGATTGATTTAACCTTCTTTTTCTTTATCAAATGAACTCATTAAGGTCAGTAAATAGGTAGCTTAGCATCGGATCTTTGCTACCGTAGTGTGATGGTAGTTTCAAAAGGGCTCTTTTTAACTAAATGAATTAGGTGGCTGATAGAGTTTCTCGTATTGATATCCTGTGTGGGTAATGTTTAATTTTTACCTTGATATCTTGCTTGATTACAGAACCGTTATCAATACAAAAGATTGCATCAAGAGAGTGCAAGAACCATTTGAAATTACTCAACTCAGAAAAAAAAATACATAAGAAGCTGATCACAGCTTTTAACAAATAACATAATAAGGTATTTTTATGTATATATACATGTATGATTTATTATACAAAGTACCATTTAGGATCATAACCAGTGGCTTCTTCTTCTTTCACAATCACATTTGATTCACCTGAAATCGACTCAGTTTCTATTCTTTTAGGGGAATCGACTACACATGTATTTTGACTAATTAAGAAAAATATGAGTTTTTTTTTTTTTTTGAAAATCAAGTAGTGAAAAAAAAAAGACCTACATGTCTAAATCAGTCTGTGCTTTTCCATACACCAATTTCTTCCAGGCTTCATGGGTTTCAGCAACCACAGAGAGCGCATATTCTTTATCTTTACATTCGCCATCAAAAGCAAACGCATTTTCTGGCTTTCCATCAGGTACTTTATAAACCTTGAACCATTGTCTGGTTGCATCTAATAAACCCGGATAAAATGTTTCTACATCCTTTACATCTTTAAAAAAAAAAAAAAAAATTAAATTTTTTTTTTTTTAATCATGGTTTACGAGTAGGGAGAAAACATACCATTGACTTTAGAGGCAATAGGATCTTTTGTATCGATCGCAAGTACCTTCCAATCTGTTTCTCCTTCATCCAACATGGCTAAAACACCTAATACTTTGACTTGTTTGACTTCACCTTGTGTAGCAATCGCTTCTCCAATTTCAATCACATCAATGGGATCGTTATCACCCCCAGCCTTGGTTTCGACGTGTACTTCGCTAGGGTCTTCCCAGGTCTGGGGTAAAGCACCATAGTTCCAAATATAGCCCTTGTATGGGAAACAGTTGCGTACAAAACGAGGTTTACCCTTTTTAACATCTTGCTTTAAAGGGTTGAACTTTTCTTTTGTTGCGATCTATATATGAAAAAAAAAATGGACAGTTTAAGAAAAACCTTTTTATGTCAACGCAGGAAAATAAAACTTTACTTCTACTTTGGCGTTTGTCCAACGAGGAATTTCAACTACCATGTTGAATACATTCTTCTCTTCGTTTGCGTAAAGTGGGATATCGTGAAAAGGGGAAACCACTTTACCGTCTCTTTCTACAAGGTGCGTTTATATTTGAGTCTTTTTTTTTTTTTTTTTTTTTTTTTTTTTGTTCATTGTTTATTTATTTACCAATGAAGACACGATGAGTAGCAGTGAATGGCTTTCCAACTACAGTGGTCTTGTAGGTTGAAGAATAACGTACAAAACAGGTACGGAATACGCTTTGGTTTTTCAAAATACTATTCATTGAAAGAATGAGCCCAGGGAGTTTTGAACTGTCAAGTTGTCGTTTTTTCTTGTTAAATAATAGAAAGGGAACCCAATTCAAGTTCCGGGTTTCTTTTTTTTTTTTTTTAACTACTACCATGAGACCGGATCCACATAAAGCTAAAGAATCTCGTAAATATCAATCAAAACAAAAGAAACAGGGCAACACAGAAGCTTCTGAAATAGCTGAAGCTCGTAAGAAGGCAGCCAAAGCGCGTGATAAAGGTTTAGGCAACGCTGCTGTAAGAAGAAGAAACGCTGACCCATCTGTAGAAACTGAAGAAGAAAAAGAAGAGAGAAAGTTACGTCAAGCTAAATTTTCTAAAAGACAGCTTGCTTCTAATGCCGATCGCTATAAAGAAGAAACAGAACAAGGTAAGTAACGTTTTTTTTTTTAAAAAAAAAAGAAAAAAGTTAAGTTTTGACTTTTGATCTAGATGTATTGGAGAGAGATGCAGAGTTAGGTATCGATAGAGAAACAACTGATTTGGTATCCATGTTGGAAAGTACAGGTAGGATAGAAAAATCAAAAACATATTAAGTGAAAATTAACGATTTTTTTTTTTTTTTTATGTATGTAGAGGAGGGAAGTGCGACATTTTTCAAATTCAAAGAAGAACAATACGATACAACTATGAATAAGAACATGATGGAATTAAACTTTCGATTATTTGAATCCACACTTGATAATTTCGATACGACACAATTACTTGGTCTTAAAGATGAGGAAGATCAAGCGTTAGTTTACAATATATTGAACGAACATCCAGTCGTACTTGATAAGCCAATTGTGCCTTCATTTTCCAAGAGTGCAAAAGGGTATGTATTATTTAAATCACAACAACCTGTGAAACCGAACGTGATATCAGAAGAGAATGGGATTTATATACGAAATGATCGTCATATACCCACTACGACAACGCCTATTAAAAAAGAAGCAGTACATGATGATTTAGATGAATTATTAGCTTTAGATTCTTCTTCTACTCCTTCAACAACAAAAATACAACCTAAAAAGAATATATTACCAAAGCCAGGTTCGATTCCAAAGAAAAAGACGGAAGAAGTTGTAATGGATGATGAAGCTTGGTTAGATGATTTACTGGGATAGTTATATATTATACATGCATAATAAACTATATGTTATTTTAATCTATTTATGTAATTCTGCATATTAAATATAATGATGACTTGCCTAATTTCAAAAACCTCTTGGTTTTTAGTAGTCATGAGGAATGGGAAACCCTTTATTGTACTTTTTTTTTGATAAATAAAGTGCGGGTTACCTGCATAAAATTTAATTTATTTATTACATTTATTTTGCATGATTTTTGAGCAAAAAAAAAATAAAATAAACAGTTTATAAAACAAATTATTCTATACTGTTGTAGTACCCTTTTAAAAGCATATAATAATAGATTTATATTGAAAAAAGCAACTTGTGATTACATCTATTTCTCTATAGATTCTTTTGGTATTTAAATATGTTCTATTTATAAAAAATAGTATTATACCTACAACATGTCATAATTCAAAAAAAAATTAATAAACAATTTTATGTGATGAATTCTATCTTTGTAAGGAAATAATAAATATAAAATAAAAGTCATCAATCATTTTATACCATTCACATAGCATTGTTATTTGCTGTAGTTTATCAAAGAATTCAAACGTCTTCAGAAGTTAAATGAATTTAAACATGTCAAGTATACTACCACTGTAAATAATGAGCAGATACCAGGTATGCATCCTTGTCGAAGCATGTCCGGTGTTTGTCCGGACCGGATTTTTTGGAATTTGTGGTCTCTCTATAGCAAATAGCTAAAAAAAATTAAGCTAATATGGGGAAATGGTGTAGTGGTATCACATTTCTTTCGCATAGAAAAGGTCGCGAGTTCAATCCCCGCTTTCTCCATAGCTTTTTGTTTTGCTTCAAAAAGAATTATCATGTATTTTTTGAATAAAAAGTTACTTTTTTTTTGCTAAAACATTGTGCCTGGATTGTTAATGTTTCAAGTCATTGTTTTTTGGAATTTAAAAAAAAAAGTCTTGTTGAACCACCGGTTAATCAAACCGAATTAAAAGTAGGTAATTTATAATTAAATCGCAGTTTTCGTTCCTGAAAAAAAATCATAGTTACAGTCATCCTTTTTTATAACAAGATTGTAAACAGATTCATTAAATAGTTTTAGTAATTTTGAAATTGAAATTAATAGAAGCCGGTTCGAAAAGAAGAGGAGTGAATGAACCAGACGCTAGAAAGTTACAACAACTTGTTCCCCCGCGATATACTCTCAGGAAGCGGACTAGCAGGTAATAACTATTTTTCCTGTTATATAGATGTATATGTTTGCTACTAGGAATATACAATGTTAAGGTAAATGCTTTTGTAAAGATATCATCAAGACAGCTTATACATTGTCCCTTTTTCAGACTCAGTTTAAGACGGGTCTGATTAAGGTTAATTTGATAAAAACCTTATAAACAACTTCCAGTGATTCTGTTTTAAATAAACAATCGTCATAAGATTAATAAAGGTTTTCTGAATTATGCAATCTTCTTGTCTTTATTTTCTTCTAAATTTTTGTTGATTAGAAACTACCTTTCTTGGTATTATTATCACTCTTTTTTTTTTTTGTAATCAAATTGGTTTGTTGCACATAAATTAGAATATACTTTTTTTTAATTATTCCCGGTTGAGACAAAGCCAAAATATAGAAAATAGATATTTACAGCGGCTCCACCTCCAAAGTTCGTTTTCCAGAGTAATGAATTCGCTTTTGTCACCGATTGACATTCGTTTTTTCTTATTTTCAAATGAGTTTTTATTACAAAGATGGACAGGGAAGCATTGCTGCTGAGCAAGGAAATGAGGCAATGGACTATGAGGAAAAGACTGATCCTTATAACGTTACTTCCTTGTTGACTGCCTCACAATATCGAATTCATCAGGGGCGCTTTCCCGCTAAAGTTACAGAAGAACTTGATACCCAAATGAAAGAAGTTTCTAAGGAATTATCCAAAGATGTAGCAACCGGTAGAAAATATAATGTATTGTAGATTTTATTAAAATTTAGAACGAACTATGAGGGTGTAATAGCGAATTTTGAGCGAATTTTGAAATGAAAAAAAATAATGAAGTTTAATCGGCGACAAAAGCGAATTCAGAACACACTATTACTTACCAAACCCAACATATCCTTTATTTGTTTTCTTTGGGTTAAATATTATATTCAAAAGGATATACCAGAGGATTAGAAAAAGTAAGATATTTCATTAACTATATCTATTCTACTTTATTAACTATATGAATTATCAATAAAGCTGTCTATTTCTAGCATAAATCTTAACCACAGCGAACTCAGTACTCTGGAGTTACTTCTCTTTTGCCTATTTATCCCAAACAAAAAACTCTTTCAATTTATACAGATATTATGACTAAAGATTATAAAGAAGGTTGGTCAGATTAAAAGAAAATAGAATTTTCGCTGAACTAACTCAACAAATATATATATACATTATATATAGCTATAGCTAAATACATACTATACACGCGCCGAAGTCGGGGAAAAGAGTAGTAAAAAAAAAGGTAGTAAAATCACGGATGACTTTTATCCGGATTTATAAAAAGTATAACAAGGCACATTGTCACGTGAATAAGGTTTTTTATAACTTTTGCATGAAATACACCATTACATCAATTTTTTTTTCACATGGCATACAGACAGGTTTTTTTTCTTATACGCCAGACAAACAGGGCTTTTTTTCTTTCACATACGCCAGACAAACAGGGGGGGGGGGGGTTTCATTATAAATAATGTTTTTTTTTTATTTTGTTCTTTTCTTTCACTTTCTTCTTTTTATATATATTCCAAAATGAATCTTCCTTCCTTACCGATACAGTTTTTAATCTCTTCTTTTGCCACACTCCTTACCCAGAGAAGAGATTGTTCCAAGAAAAAAAAAGACCCGCATAAAACATATTGTTATCAATAGTAAGTCTAATAATTTTATCAAAAAATAAATGATTCATTTTATCTAATAAATCTCAAATAGAAAATGATCCTTTTTTCTTTTTTGTCCAAATTACAAGTAAAAAAAGAACAAATTACCTGGTTTTTTGTTAAAAAAAAACCAGGTATTATACTAGTTTTTTCTTTAAAAAAAACTGTAAAGTATTTTGGTGGTTTACGGCTAGTTGGAACAAATTTCATCCGTGATTTTACTACCTCCTTTTTTACTAGTCTTTTACCCAGTACCACACGCGCCGAATGTCAATTACCCCTCAACTATCCGTATTCATAAGTATGAATGAAGGACTTGTTATCAGTGACATCATCACACACAAACGAACTTCAGTGGAAGGAATTAAAAGGATGTGGATACGACGATTTACTTCAGAAGTCAAAGACGATGTAACTATCGTAGATTCCGCAGAAGTAAATTGGATTGACTTACTAGCTGAAGGAGTAAAAAAAGCAAAAGAAAATATGATACAATCCCTTAAAGGCAAAAGAATCTTTGCACTTTTAGAAGGTTACGAAAAAGAAAACGATTCTATTGCAGAATCAGTGACTGGGTCACAAGCCGAGGGCAGTACTAATAAGGTATACAATTAAAAATAGTAATTATTTATAATAATTAATTCATGCCTCGATTTGAATCGTGGCATGATTCTAGAATTTTGGAAACACTGTTCAAGCGTCTTTTGACCGAGGAAAGTTGTCCATTACCTTTCAGACTTGTCGCTGATAGTACATTTCCATGTATAAATCCGTACAGGGATAAGATCCTGAGTGTTCTAAAGGTTAACTCTGTGCGAAATAATTTAGAAAAAAAAAAGGAAAAGAGACAGCTCACTATGTCCAAGAAGCAACGGAATCTAATACTATACAACCAAAACATTTCGGGTCTAATGTACAACCCATAGACAGCTCTAGTGTAGTAGATACCACAGCCGAATCTAGTATAGAGTCTGATGATGTTTCAGCCCAAAGTACCCCTTTTTTACAGATCATTTACAATGACAACGACATCGATAGTTCTTATAAAGAAAAGGAGTCGGAAATAATGACCAATGTATCGTCTGCTTGGTGTATTGTAGGTTACGTTTGGTCGATGACACTCAGTGAATTAAATATTATCTCCGAAGGAAAGAAAGAAATGGTTACTGGCAATTCAAATATAAAGTCGATATATGATAATACTCATAATCTTGCCTTTGAAAAGCTTTTAAAACCATCATATATTGACAAAAGACTTTTTCTATCTGCTTTATTTGAAACATCACATCCAAACAATCTAGCCAATCGTCAGTATATAGTGCCCCTTAAAAAGTTACCAAAGAACATTATTCAATGTGTAAGAGCTATGGAGCAAGCAATGGAGAACAGAACCGTAATTAATGTACAGGACATTCCACTCAACACCGTTAATGAAGTAGCTCTACACTGTTGAGGATGCTTATAGACACAGCTAAATAAATACGTGATCATTGTAGTTATTATATATATATTATTTTATTATTATTATTATTAAAGCAAGATCATGGTTTAATGCTGGCATAGGCAAACCACATTACTTTCTCATAGGTCAATAACATAACAGGTTGTCATATATGGAAAGTGACAGTAACAAGAGTTTGTTTAACCTTGCATGAATTTTCGATCAAAGTAACTCGCCAATAGATACGCGTAATTATAACTGAAAAGAATCTAGAATGTAACACAGGAAGAAGGCATTATAATATCATATCAAATTATTATCATAACACAATTATATCATAGCAAATTACATCACATCTTTATTATCATCATTATAACTTATAACCAATAATCATCATGAACATACTTACCTTTACCATATTTATATACATATTCTATGATATCAATTGATATCACTTTCCGTATGTTTCCGCTAAAGAAAACATATAAATATGACCATCATTTAGATAGTTTTCCCCTTGTCTGATTTTATATCTTTCTTTCTAAATAAAAACTATCGTAACAGAGTTTTAACAATACTTTCTTCGTTTCTTTTTATTTCTCTAAGTTTTACCTTTATTCTCTTTCCCATCCAAAACATACACCATATTCTGGTTGGGATATATCTGAATCATTCCAAGCCTATTAAATGCCCATCAAGTGAAATTGATTTAATAGTTAAGTCTTTAAGTGAGTTATTTTGTTCTTTGTGGTCACCACATAATAATGTAACGGTTTCATGGTAAGTTGAACACAAACTAATACGGTTAGGTTTACATAGATGATATTAACGATATCATTTATATATCTAGGGACTTTTCCACCTGGATTAACAAACAAAAAATGCCCGATTCAACTTCTACGCGGCCAGACCTTGTTTTTTTGTTCTGACCTTTGTGAAGTGGGTAACGGAGAGATTAAGCCCGTTGGGACGTCAAAATCATGTGTTGATGTTGCTCGTGCGAGGGTATTAGAGACATGTAAGAGACAGCTGCACGTAAGATTGAAGGCTGCATCATCACCAATAGAAGCTACAACTTTTGGTGTGCTTGTTTACGGTAAAAAAAAAGCTAGATTTGTTCTCCAGAGTTTTATTTAGGAAATATACTAATATTCTTTATTATCATTTAGGTCTGTGCTATGAAACATTTGTTGTTTCATTTAATGACGGATATTATCCATAATGAGCGTGTCTCTGTTGGATTGTTGCCCACCTCCTTCAACACATATAAAAATGCAGAAAAGACATTGATGGATTTAATACAGTTAAAAGTAAGTGATAATAGTATACAATATATATATTTTAGTGATACTAAATAGTCGCTTAGGAATCGATGAGTATGTCTTTGTCGACAGAAATCACATCTGAGGAGTTTATCCTTGTAGATAAAAAACTTCTGATTCCAACCGTGTCGTACAGCTCCATTGTAAA